TATATAGTCTAATTAAGGAGTATATACTTTAGTTCCTATCTATTAATAGCGTTTAAGTATTTCTTACCTTTTAAGGCTAGTTACTAATAGGTTTTCTTCTCCTTATAAGGTTATTTATATTCTTTAGAGTAATATCTAAGTTTCTTATAATTAAAATACTTTCCTTTACTTTTTTATATTATATTTAAATCTATCTTACCTAGGTTAGTTATATAAGTATAAGTAATAAGAGTTTTACGCTTCTTTTTATAGTTAGTATATTAGTTAAAGTTACTTTTATAAGAAGGGTTTTAGTTTCCTCTTCCTTATTTCTTTTCTTAGTATTATATATACTATTTATCGTTAATTTATACTACTATAGTAATATAGTCTAAGAGGTTATTAAGTCGATTTTCCTTATAAAGGTCGTCCTTAACTTCTTCTTTAAGCTTATTATAGAATTATAATATAAGGGGTTCGTTATCTTAATTAAGCTTTAAGGTAACTTAATAGAACTTTATAGTATAATCTAATACTAAGATCCTTTATTAGAGTTCTTAAAGTTTCTATTTAGCTTTTTATTCCTTATTAGTTATTCTAAATACCTTTATAATAGCTTCTTTAAATCCTTAGAAACTAATAAAGACTTTATCTATTTTATTATCTCGTTATACTAGTTAGTAATTAAGAAAGTCCCTTATAATAGGTCTAAACTAAGTAAGTACTATTTTAGATAAATAATTTCTTATATAAAGTACCTTTTCGACTAGGTCTAAGAGTTTAGTAAGGTAAAACTAGTAGTAGGCCTTAAGTTAGGTAAGAAAGTCTTAAAGCGTGCTATAAATACCGTTAAATAGTCCTAGCTATTTTAGTTTAACTACTTCTCTAAGGTCCCTAACTTATCTATTACCTCCTTTATTCCTAAGTAACTATACCTTATATCGAAGGGTAATAATCTTACGTATTATATCCTAAGGCGATATAATAGCTCTAGAGTTAGTTAATCTAGCTTACTATATAGGTATATTAATAGTTATAATATTACTTAGAGTAACGCGGTATTATATTAAATAAGAGCTTTTAACGTATAACGACTAGTATTATTCTTAAGGGATAAACCTATTAAGGGGTTTATATTAGTAGATATAATAGGGCGTAGTTTAAGTAATAATAAGTATATTATATTAGTAATAAGTTAGAGGTTATAGACCGTAGACTATAACTAGGTAATTAAAATTAAAGATAGAATCGTAATAAAGATCTATATTAAAAGCTAGAGAGCTATCTATTTAAAGGAGTAAAAGTAGGTAGCTATATATACTTATAGAGACTATCCTTAGATTATAGGCCTAGCTATAATCCTTAACGTTAGATTATATAAAGCGTAGTAATCTTATTAATCCTAGATTACTTAGATCTCTATAATCCCCTTAATCCTATATCTATTAAATAGTTATACTAACTATTTATCTATTAGACTATATTACGTGCTTAACGCGGTCGACTATTAGCGGCCTAGTAGCTATAGTCGTAATAAATAAAGGCTTTAGGCTTTAAGGCTTATAAGGGCTCTTAGCTAGCTTTCCTTCTTTCTAAGTTATAATTAGGTCCTATAATAGCTACTAAGCTTTTAAGGAGGCGGAAGAGCTATATATAGGGCCTAATATAGCTTAAGGCCCTTAGGTTAAAGCTTAAGTTAGCGAGGTTATCCTATATAGCTAGCTTATAAGCTTACTTTATAAGGTAACTAAGTAAGAGGTATAAGGTCTAAAAGGCCTAGGAGAGGTATACTATTTTGAATCGTACCTTTAGTAGCGGTAGGGCCGCTTTAGCTTTTAAAGCCTTAATAGGGGATCCTTTAAAGGCCCCTAAGACCTTTAAAAGAGCTTAGTTTTAAAGTATTTAAAAAAAGGCTTTATAAGGCTCTTAGGGGTCTTAGGCCCCCTATACTAAAGCTAGGCCCTATAGTCTATTATAGAGGTTACGTAGGCCTAGTAAAGCTACTTAAAGGCTTTAAATAATAGGCCTCTTTATATAAAGGCTAAGTAGGATAGTACTTTAAAGGCAGCTTATATAAAGGCTACCTTCTTCTTAATATATTATTTAAATAAGAGCCTAGAATTAAAGAAGACCCCTAGCTACTATACTAAGGGCTTTACCTCGAAAATTAAGCCTCCTACCGTTATACCCTTTAAAATAGGCTGCTTTTACTTACTAAAGTAAATAAGTTCTATCTTTAAAGGGTTAAAGTAAACCCCTTAGTTCTTAGCTTATTTAAATAGGTTAGTAGCTATTACTTCTAGCTACTAAACGTTCTTCTTAGCTAAGGTTAATATTATAAAGATACTAAAGTTATCTATATAAGATAGCTAGTACCTTTTAGCCGCTAGTATCCCCCTTATATATAAGAGGAATAAAATAGGGCTAATAAGGGACCCTTAAGGCACTCTTATTACTAGGTCTATAAGGGGCTAGACTTACCCCTTAAAGGCTAGCTAGATCTTCCTTTTAGTAAGGAGGTAGTCTACCTAGCTTATAAGGGCCTTAAGGAGGTTTAAGTCCCTTAGGACCCTTATAAGCTATTCCTTTAATATAAAATCGAAGGCGCCCTTTATATTTAATAAGAGGGTGCTAGTAATAGCCTTCTTATTAGACTCTTACTTCTTTTAAATATAGTATAAAAGGAGGAAGGCCGTATCTATAGCTAACTATTATTTTCGGCCCCTTAGCTATATAGGGTTTAAAAGCCTATCTATATTAGCTAAATAGCTTAGCTAGGTAGCGTATAGCTTTTTAAGGACCTTTCCTAAGTAGTTAAGTAAACTTATAACCTTATAGGCCTTAGGGATAGTATAGTCTTACTTATTTTACTTAGGAAGTATAACTCCTATAGCTTCCTTTTACGCTTTAAGGTAGTATCCTTAGTTAAATAGGGCTTTATAGGCCTTATTAAAAACTATAAGGATAGCCTTATACGCGTATTAAATAGGGAGGAAGCTAAGGGAGTCCGGGCTAAGGGCTTTCTTATTAAAAGAGCTAAAAATAGCCCTCTTAATCTTAGGGTCCTTTAGCTCTAGCTAGTCCTACTTAGCTATGCCCTTACTACTTATATAGCCTAGAGGCTCTTCTTTTTCTAAGCTTTAAGGGGGGCTAAGGGGGGGGCTAGGGCTAGGGTCTAAGGTCGGAAAAAGGGTTATTAGGAAGGCCTTATATTTTTCTATAAAGGTATTAGCTTTTACCTTTATCCCTTTTTTTATATATAAGATACTAAGAAGGGTAGGGTTAGCTTTAGCTTTAATATAAGAAACGGCTATAAAGATATCCTTTCTTACTACTTCTATTAAGAAGCTCTCTTAGTATTGCTTTTTAGTAGCTTTAATAGTATACTTAAAGCTATTTCGGGCCTTTATAAAGCTCTTCTAGCTCTCCTTATCCTAGGCTAGCCTATAGGCCTATTAGGCTAAGCTTAGGGCTTTCTAAAGGAAGGTTAGCTCGTCGGTCTACTAAGGCTTAGATCCCTTATAGGGCCTCTTTTTTAGTATTACTATATTTAAGGCCTCTATAAAAGGTCTTATTAAAAGGGAAGCTATCCTTTCTAAGTCGTCTCTTTTTATAGCCCTCTTTATAGTTATAAAGAGGTCCTATTCCTTCTTAGCTAAGTATTCTAAAAAGACCTTTTAGTTTACTTTCCTATAGTTATAAGTAGTAGGCCTAGCTAGTAGGGGCCTATTAAGGCCCCTTAAGCTAGCTTTAAAGGCTATAGGCTTATAGTCTAAGCCTATAGCCTCTAAGAAGCGGAAGTTAGCTTAGGTTAGCTACTTAAAGGGGCTATAGAAAGTAAGGTCTATAACTAAGGCCCCTTTTAAGCCTTTCCTTTAATAGGTGCCTTCTATAGCTACCTTAAGGTCCGTTAGTAAGGAAGCTTTATAGTAGTCGAGCTAGCTAATAAGGGCTTCTACCTTATAGGCCTTAAAGGGTTCTATAAAAGGGTTTTAATAAGGGTAATATAAGTTAAAGTCCCTTACTAGTAGGAAGGGCTACTATAAGAGTTAAGCTATTAATAGTAGCCTTTTTATAGTTAAGGGCCTTTACTAGCCTTAGCTAGCTAGGGCCCTTTTAACCTCTTTTTCGTTATATAGGTTAATAAAGGTAAACGGCTCGATGCCTTTTACCCTTATAGCCTATATATTAGGGTCGTAAAAGAGGTTAAAGCTAAGGCTAGCTTCTATCTAAGCTTCCTTCCTCTTATAAGCTATAACCCTAGGCCTCCTAGCGAGCTTAGGAAAGTCGGTAGAGGGGATAAGGGTTATAACGTTATAGGCCGGATACTATATAGGGATATAGCTATTATCGATCTTATAAAAGTAGGGCTCTTATAATAAGATAAGGTCCGCTCTTATTTTTAGGGCTTACTCTAAGATCGATAGGTTAGCTGTTTCCTACCTATTAGTATTATACTATATAATACTAATAGGGTCGTAATTAAGCCTAGGGGGCCTAAGGGGCCTCGGAGGCCCTATCGGTATAAGGGGGCTAAGGCTATTAAGCATTAGTTATTCCCTTATAGACTCCGTATTATACCTTATTAGTCGTAAGGTGCTCTCCCTTATAGTTATAGCATTAGACCTTAAAGTAAGAGCAGCCTTAGCTAGCCTTATAGCTAGGGCAGTTATAATCCCTAGTTAGGTGCTTTTCCGGGCAAAAGGCACACCTAATAGGCTGCCGGCAGGTCCGGGGGTTATGGCCGAAGGAAAGGCACCTATAGCACTGCGTGCGTATAGTATATTCCTTATAATTCACTGCCTCGATTCGCAGTATATAGTGCGAAAACAGAATTTCTAGCGGGTCATTCCATCTGCATAATCGCTTATTATCCTTTATCACCCTTCACAATCTAGTTGATTCTCGTCTCGTCATTTCTCACGCAGAAGGCTCTAAGAACCACGGCAGGAAATATAGTTTATTAACTCTGATAGATCCCATCAGATCATCTTTTTTTCTCGTGCTTGCCATTACGCTTCTCACTTGTTCGACAGATTCGAAGATGCAGCAGCAAAAGCCTCCCGGATATGGTTGGAATACTCTTCCTGTTGCTTGACCTTGGACGAGAGAAAGTTAGCAGCCTCGCGGTCCCAGTAGGGCATCACCCATCGACTGAACTCGTCCAGGGCTGCATTGCCGAGGTCTGCAAATTTCGGCTGGATGTGGAACATAAATATAGCGTATAACGCGCTCGGGCAATCCAAGGCTTGAGAGTACCAGAAGCTCCCAGTCTCCCAACATTCCTGGATGATTCTCGTATACTCGCCTGACTGGCGCTGTGCTAATTCTTCAGTTTCAAAGGCATCCATAAACTCCCGGTGCACCTGGGCGTACTCGTCCAATTCATCTCCCACGAGTTCGTCAATACCCAGAGCCGATTTGCCAATGCCTGGACTGGAAAGCCACCACGGTGGGCTGAGCATCTCGATAGGACGGACGCATGCCCACTCAAGGTCGATGAGGCGGGTGATGTGCCAGTTACTGTCGACGAAGATGTTGCTCTGATGGAGGTCCGTCAAGGTAAGGACAAACGGTCCCCCGCGAAGAAGTCGACTTGTGAACTTTGGGAGCAGTGCTCGCATGGTCGTTAGGGCAGCTAGCTGCGCCTCGCCATCACCTTGGTGATGAATAGAGTTTGGCTGGTGCCGAATACGGCTATCGTGGCAGGCGAGAATGTCCAAGTAGTATGGCTCTACGGATGTGTAGGTAAGGTCCCGTGGAATGTGCGTCGGAATCTGACGGTTTTCCAATTGGTGAAGTTGAAATGTAAGCGGACGGTTAGTAAGAGAGAGAACGCCTCGGTCATCCACTGTCCACGAGCCTATTCGTGGAAGTGGGACCTTAGCGAGAGACAGCATGATGCGAGAGAGATCCCGGAAGAGGTTGGCTCTCCGGTCTTGGTCGCTACGGCGGTCCTTCCATGACTCAGAAAGCATGTTGCCCTCGTCTACGTGTTCGATTAGCAGGTACCCATGCTCGAGCAGGTTCCGGCGAGGGTGTGAAAAGTAAGGGGAAAGCGTGTGTCCGGATATCCATGGTATAATGTTGCGCAAGTACCATAGGATCCGGATATAAAACGGTTCGTTCTCGAGCGCCGTAAACTGCATATTTCAGTCAGCATATGACGTGGTTCTCGAGGAAGGGTTCAGTAGCAAGTACCGACTGTGTTCCGGGGAACCCAAAGCCCAGGAGCCGGGGTATAGGGACAGTAGGACAATTGCGCTGCAACCAAATATAGGTAGCCGCCTCACAGCGCAATTTCTCGTCCACATTGCCAGGATAATATTCCTCACCAGTCTTGTACGGCAGGGGAAATCGGATGATGGCCTGTCGAGGCAGATATGGCCGAGGGTAGGTGATGTGGACGGGGATGCAGGTATTAAAACTACCATGGATCCACTCTCTGAGCTCCCCGAGCTGAAGACCGGCTTGGGGAATATTTAGGTGGCGGGAAACGACTTCTGCTATCTGGGAGCGGTGGCGGTCGAGGTAGAGCCAGAAGATGGCCCGTTTCTCCGGGTAGGATAAGTTCTGAACGATGTCTTCATCTTCTTCTAGCGCCTCCTGAAGAGTAATTCTCCCTTTGAGGAGTGGCAGTGTGGTCTCCATTGAAGCGAAAGATCGGGGCTGGTGATGATGCTAGATTGCGGAGGAGACTGCGAAGTGGACGGGGCTAGATGGAGGCGGGTAAACGACGGCAAATTATTACTAATTCGTTTCCTGTTTACTTTCCTGTCTTGGCCTTGTTGAATTCCTCTGCTGCCATCTTGGCCTCCTTCTCCCTCTGGATCTCACGCTTCTCCTTTAATTTATCCCTCTTGGCTTTCGCTGCGTTCCCTGTTGTGGACAGTTGTTCGATTGTTTTTTGGTCGAGTAAAGCATCGTTCATTTTTTTAATGTCTTCTTTCGTCCCGCCGCTCATGTTTACGACTTCGACACTATTATAGTGGACGCTATACTCGGTAAGCAATTGCTTGAACTTGAGACATGAAGAAATCTTTAACCTATACAACTTGATGACTCGTATAAGGGATGCAACGGAAATGGGTGATTGCATGCCGGCTGTGCTTGACAAATGGGTCGTCGTCTCTTTATAGCTGGAGCCGTTCACAATATTCAGCAGAGTAATAGCATGCCTCCTGCATGCATGATGCAGAACAGAAGGGGCAAAAATGCGGGCTCAGTTGCATCCAAGATGGACACCCTAGCCATGCTGGCATGGACTTCCTAGAGTGGTGTGACCGGTACGGTGCTTCCCCCTCATTCCGCACATCAGTTGCAGCCCTTGGACGTGTCGCCATTCAGCCCTCTCTCAGTGGACGGCAAAAACATAAGGTCTAATTGGTTTATCTAAACGCGAGTTCTAGACTTTATTTTGGAGTGCGTTTGATGTTTCTTTCCCTTCGGAAAATATTTGCAAGTGGGTAGAAACGGGCGGCTCTTAAGAAAATAGCTATAGGCGCCCAAAAGAAAGAGGAGGCTCGAAGGAAGGAAGCGCAAAAGATTTAACGAAAGCAAAAAGCGACGAAATAAACAGCCCTCGATCTAGAGCAGAGGAGGCGGCGGGCGGTGGAAATAGAGAGAAGGCAGCAGGTAAAGGAAGCTAGGCGGCACGAGAAGGAGACTAAATCTCGCGAAGAGAAATACTTATTAATGAGTAGGTATAAGAGGTTAGAGTTATGCCTAGTAGACCTAATAATTATAGAATAAAGCCAAGTGTCTCGGTTCTGCCCACTAATCTTAGCGACATTTGACGCCGTCCCTGGCGGTCTCGACCGGCGCTAACTAACCACACCCCACCCCTCCTCCTTATCGTGCTCACGACCCGGAGCCCCCAACACAACCCCCTTGCCGCCAGTTTGCTGTAATTTAAGTAGCGCGTCCTCGGGGACTATAAAAAGAGCTAATGCGCCTCACTATCTTCACTAGTTTACTCTCCCTATCCCCTCTTTTAATAGGCGTATTACCGTTCCTATCTTAACCTTATATACCGGTAGCCGTTTACTAGCTCCTATATTTCCTTATATCCTATTCCTTCGCTCTCTTCGTTTATCTATAATAGCTATTTATTATAAAATAAAGAGCGCCCTATAAGCCGCTATAAAGGGCCGGCATAGAAAGACCTTACTTTATAAGTAGGTATAGAGCTAATAGTTAGGAGCTAAGGGCTATTATAGCCTATATAAAGAGTTAGATAATATATTATTCCTTTAGCTATTAAACGCGGATATAATAAAGGTAAATATATACTATATTAAGAGGAGGTTTATAAGGTAAGTTATATGTCTCTTATATAAGAAATAGTAGTTAACTAATATCGCTAAGGTATTACTCTAGTAAAAGATATAGTTATTAAAAGAAAGTAATTAAGCGTTACTATTATAATAAAAGGCTTATTATAATATTTCTATACTAGATCTATAAAACGTATATCTAGCCTAGGCGTAAACCTATAAAGAAGAAAATAGTAAACTAGTACTAGCGAGACTTTAAGATACTTTTCTATTATTATAATAAGGGGCGAGTAATTAATATAAATAACTATAAGGAGATTAAAAAGGTACTTACCTTACGGCCGCTCTTACTTCTTATAAAGAATAACTAACCTATTTAGTTTATAAATAGTACCTTAAAAGTTAAGTTTTACCTTAACGATTAGCTTAAAAATAAACTTATTATAAAGGTAAATAACCTTTTACTAGGACTTACGTAGTACTAGTCCTATAATAAAAGCGTCTTTCTAACTAAAGATTACTATCTTAACCTTTTTATTATTTTACTTTTCTAAGTATATACTACTTATCGGCTAGCGGAACTAGTAGATAGAACGAAAAGTAAAATAAGTAATAACCTACTACTTAACGACCTAGATATAGACGATGCGTCTCTTACGAAGCGAAACTTTAGTAACGGCTTAATAATATTTAAAAAGATATAGTTAATAAGTAATAAAGCTTATAGGTAAGTAGACTAAAATAAAAACGAAAAGGCTACTAAGGCTAGGTCGGAATCTAAAGTAAAGTTTACCTTTTAACCTAGATTAGAATCCGATCTAAAGTCTAATAATAGCGCATTTAAACTTTTATATAATAATAGCGATAGTTTAAGTAAGACGAACTATAATAATAATAAGCTTAATAATACTAAGGGCTAATAAAAGGGTAAAATACCCTTTTCCGCTACCGCCCTTAATCCTTATAAGTTTACTAAAGATAGGTAGTAAGTTTAAAGGTATAAAGCGTTATATTATAAGGATATTATTCTCTAGGTTATATAAGATTATAATAAAGGAGGAAGAGACGTCTTAGTAATAGAAGTTTTCTTTTACTACTATAAAGGGTTAGATAATAAACCTAAACCGTATGTTTTACCTTAGACTAATTAGCGGATAGCTTAGAATTCTTTTACTAACTCTTTAAAAGGACTATCTTCTTAATTCGCGAAAATCCGCTCTTAATACTCTATCCTATAGTTTATATCTTAGCGCGAGCTATTTAAGACGATATATTTAAAGTATTTAGTTTATAGCACGCTATACCTTTCTTTTCCTTTAAATTATATAAGAAGGTAATAAAGGTAAACTAAAAGCCCTTAATAGTAAAAATATTAATTTTCCGCCGATATATTTATATAGATATTAGTAAATAAATTATATTAGCGACGGACCCTATAAAGTATTTAATATATACTTTCTATCTTAATAGAATTAGGTCGAATTTAAGATCTAAGGAGAAAGAAATATCTTATTACTTATAACGCGGTAATATAAACGCCCTCCTTAGGGTCGCACCTAATATAGTTATAGACTAAGTTATAAGATATAACCTAAGAACTAGCTATCTAGTAAATATATACCTAAATCGTTAGGTAGGATTTAATATATAAGATATATACTTAGAAAGGGATCTATCTATAAGGGCTTTTGCCCTATATAGGCCTAGACTAGGGTCTAGGCTAAGTCTATATATAAGCGGCCTCCGCGCTTATATAGGCTAGGCCTATACTTCTCTTCCTTTTCCCCCTTATAGATTATTAACCTTCTTTTAATAGACTATACCTAAGCCTACGCCTCTACTTACTTTATAATAGTATAATCTACCTTTTATTTTACCCTCTTTATATCCCTATATATAGAATAGCTATTTTTAGCTGCCTTTAAAGCTAACGTTTAATTACCTAGTCTAGTTAAACCGCCCGCGCTAGTATATACGCACGCGAAATATCTATACTCCTATAGTCGTAAAATTAAAGCGAACGTAATACTTAGTTCGCCTAGGCAATTAAGAGCCTCTTATAATAGTAGGGCTCCGTACGACTAAGAGCGGTACTACTATACCTTAGTAAGTTCGACGGCTCCTCTACAGAGCTTAAGCTATAGCTACTTTATATAGAAGCGAAGCTCTATACTAATAGCGCCGTAATAAGGGATATCCGCGCCTAATTCGACTATCTTTACGTAAGCCTATCCCTATACCTATAAAGGTATCTCTTACCGTTTACGTATACTAGTATAAATAAACTAGCTAACCTCCTTATAAAGCTCTTTACTAATTATAGTAAACTTAATATAGCTAAGTCGGTAAGTTAGGAGCTTATAACGCTCTATTAAAAGCGGAATAAAGCTATTCCGGCCTACCTTATACGGTTTAAAGAGGTGCTTTATTAAGTAGATATATATAGCTAGCTTAACGCGGTAAAGTATAATTACCTTATTACGAGCTTAAATATAAATTAGTATACCCGTTTAAGTAAAAGGTCTATACTATTAAATATATATACTAATCTTATCTACTTTCTTTATAAGCTTAGTAGTAATAAGTTTCTTTTTTTATCTTTTTCTATAATATAAAAAGAGGATAACGCTAGTAATATAATAGATATCTCTATCTTTACTTTAAGGACCGAAGATAGAAAGAGGTAGCGATAGGAGGGTCGCTATATAGGCTATATTAGTAAATCCTACTAGTTTTTAAAGTACCTGTGCTAGGAGGCGTAGGTAAACGTACTCTAGGTAGTAAAGGGGCGTATACGCTAGGACGGAAAGGAGGTTAGGTTTAACGATAGCGACTCTAGTAATAAGTAATCTTAGTAACGCTTTTATAGGCTTTATCGGCGTCCCCTTATATACGGTAGTAGCTACTATAGGGATAGGATATATACCTATAGCGACTAAAAGGGTAGCTAAGATATAGGAAGGCCGCTAATATAATATAACTATAGTAAAAGGGAGTGCCTATATAGCCCTATATAAGAGGGAGCGGAGCCTTATATACCGGAGTACCGTCCCTTATATTATAGTACTAGGAGCTACTACTATACGCCGATATAGGAGGGGCGGGATACTATAAGCTTACTAAACCTAGCTATACGCTATTCTATATGCTTTTACTCCTTAGCTAAAAGTACTAAAGCCTAACTCTTAGGGCGCAGCCCTTATTAATAATATAGTCTATCTAAGAAGCTTACTTAAAAGGGTATTATACGTTATTTACTAACGTTTTTTCCGTGACTAAGCGTATATAGTCTATATAAGGGTTTTATCCCCTTAAGCGCGGTATTAAGTATTATTTAAAGGCGCGCTTCTTTAAAAGCTAGGTAGGGGTATAATA